CTTACATCACTTTAAATCCAGGTAAGGGACCCATGTTTTGAGTGAGAGTGCCTCCTTCCTGAGCCCAAGTCCTTGATCCCTTCCATCCCACCCTTCTCCCCAGTCTTGGATGCAAATGAACTTAAAAGAGGGTGGGAAAAAAAAAAGGCCAGAAGCCAGGGCCTCAAGCCATTCACCTGCAGGAGTGCTCTGGCCCTTGCTAGATCCCAGCTGGGCGCGCTGTCTGCTTCAGGCCCGGAGTCTGCGAAAAGATGGCAAATGGGTGCAGACAGTGCACACAGTGGTTTGCACGCTTGGGGCACTGGGACCAGCTGTCAGCCTTGGCTAGGTGGGCGTTTCAGTAGACAGCAAGAACTCCATGTGGGTTGGGGTAGTGCGGGTCCCCTCCTGGCTGCAAATCCCGACCCAATCAGCTCTGCCATGGTTTGAAAGGACACATGCCTGCCTAGAGACAAGACAGCTGAGGATGGCGGCTGCAAACAAGGGAGCAGCCCCACGGAGACCCCTCCAAAACGATTCCTGAAGCCTGAGGAGCATTTGCTTGCTGAAGTTTCACATAATGCCGATTTTTGAATATCGACCTGGTCTTTGAACCTAACCATGACCATGAGTGAGGAGTAGGTGTATAAAAAACCTGTTGCCATTGAGTCAATTCCCACTCATAGCAACCCTATAAGACAGAGTAGAATTGCCCCCATAGGGTTTCCAAGGCAGTAACCTTTATGGAAGCAGACTGCGACATCTTTCTCCCAGAGAGTGGGGAGTGGCTGGTGGGTTCAAACCACTGACATACATATACATATAAGATGCAAAACAGAGCTGGAGCATTGAAAACAGTTTCTGGGACCACAAAAAAAATGAGATTTCATTAGTCATCTATAGTCCTGTAGGCACATACCAGTTGTATGGGACATTGACATAGATTATATATTTCAGTAATAAGCAGAACAAATATTTATTATGAACTTGAGACAGACAGGTGTTTTACATTTAATAATATTTAGATTTTCACAATGATTTTAAGGATTAGGTACAGCTTTTATCACAAAATGTTTTTTAAAAAGTAAGCATGGCCATCTAAGCATCTTACTGAAAGCTACACAGCTAGTACGTGGAGAGACAGAGTTTGAACTCAGACAGTATGGACAAAAAACTTTCACTCTTGGTAAATACTTTTTGCTCTTCTCTCCTTAGCTTTTTGCTGAATATGGGCATCACAGGTAAACTGACATAGTCCTAAGGAGTCATTATATAGGAATGACTTTATACATAGTTTATAACATAGGAAAATAGTTGACAAGTTTTGCCTCATCTCAAGTCAGTGACAGAAGAAATCAGGGACTTAAGAGTTGGCAGAGGTATTACCCCAATCCTGGTCTTACTTTAGGAAGGATTAATCATTTTTGCTTCTAAATATGAAAAGTGATGAATTAGGATTCTTCCCTAGTCAAACAAGATATGAGGAAGAATAAGACACAAGGCAAACTGTACATCTTATTGATGAGTAAAGGGCATTTAAAAGGGAATAAGGGAGACAGCAAGGAGATGGTCAGATTTGTGGCAAAGAGCTCAGGTGCAGATGAGCACAGGAAGGGGGCACTAACAGAAGCGGTGAGGCTCTAAGACAGTTCAGGAACCTTGTGAGCACAGGGACATGAGAACTTCACATTTCATTGGATTGAAATAAGGACAAACAATCCCAGAAAAGTAACAGTCAGCGAATTTGTAGATGAGGAACCCACAGTCTGTGACATTGAAAAATGAGACAGTGCCAGACTCATAGTCTAGGAAAATCCCAACACGACGGACAGGTACAGTTAGACAAAGGATCCGACTCTGGGGTTGAAGGGAAGGGTTCTCAAAAGCAATATACCTGGATTGATTCTGTAACCCTATAACCCAGTAGCCAAATCGAGGCTGATATCTGAAGTCATTATTTTGAAGATCTGTGTGTTGTTTAACACTTAACTTCATATTGAATTCAGGGCATTTGTCAGAGCATACCCCCAGGACCCAGGAAGTTTTCCCAGTTGTATCTACCTCCCAGTAATGTTTCCCTGATTCAACATACAGGCAGCCCATGATACCATCATCATCATTATTGCCATTCCAATATGAATTTCTTGACTTTGAATTGGGCACAATTCTTGCTTGTCTTCCATCTTCAGAAATGACAACATTCGAATTAGGGTTGATTGGATTCAGTGTCATGTTTATTGTAAGGCAATTACAGGGTAGAGGGATACGAGGTAGAGTTATCTGTGACATTAAGAGAGGGATCATGAAAAGAACTTGAGAGGGTACTGGGAAGAACTTTGCTCAGGAGTCACAGGGAGAGTTAAAACACTGGAAACTTAAATATGTAGGTGTGTGTTGGAAGGGGACACATGGGGCTCAAAGAGTGAGACCTACTAGAGAACACAAAATTGTGAAAGGTGATGAGAACAGTATGGCTTGAGGATACTGTGATTTCTCCTTACCCCAGTAGCGCTGGACATGTGTCGGTTCTGAAATGATAAAACATTCCATGATATTGAATCTAAGCAAGAGAGTCAGCACTGACATCTGTTTCCTCTCCTGATTAGGGGAAGGAGAGGAAACTATGGAGAAAAGTGAACAGGTGAATGAGAGGAATAGATACCTGACCATTCCCCCTTAAACATGACATCAGCAGCACATAGTCATCCAACACCTTCATCTCTACTGTCTCCCCTATTTAGCCCCTGCACTCACAAAAATCCCACAGCCACACAATTCCTCGGGTTCTTACCTCTCATCACACGCAGAATCATATTCATATCTGGAACTTGGAATATTTTCCTTGGTTTCTTGGGCAATGTTTTTGGCTTCTCCGGGATCATATTCTTACTCTAGAGATGATAAAAATTGACCTCACACCTCTGACTTTATTTCCCTCCAACATCACTGATTTTTTTCCTTTTCACCACACTGATGTAACATGGACCATAAACCCCCTGAGAGCCTGAGAGGGGAGAAGGGAGAATCCTGACATTGGAGCTAGAGGATTGTGTGCTCATATACACCTCCCTGGAGCCCTGGTGGCACAGTGGTTAAGAGCTTGACTGCTAACCAAAAGATCGACAATTCGAATCCATCAGCCACTCCTTGGAAACTCTATGGGACAGTTCTACTCTGTCCTCTATGGTTGCTATGAGTCAGAATCAACTCGATGGCAATAGGTTTTTGGCTTTTATACACCTCCTCGCTTTCCCTCTAGGTGACCTGGGGAAGGTCTTGACCTTTCAGAAACAGTTTCTTCTTTGTAAAAGGAAAAATTAACCCTTCACTCTCTACCTCCTAGAAATCATATGCAATAATATGAAATAATGAATTTTTAAAAAAATTGGTAGCTTAAAAAAATTAATGAGAGTAAAATCACTGCCATGGATGTGGGTACCTAGGCAGAAAGTGAGGTTGTAGAACCTGGCTGCTGGGGCTTAAAAGATATTAAGTATGGGAATTCTGTGTGGAGAGACCCAAGGGTGTTCAACGACAGTGTTCCCAAAGGAGGCTTTCAGAACAACATCTAAGGTTCCAGGTTCTCTGTGACAAAAATTACTAACATTGTCCAATAAGAAGTTACGAATACCAAAGTAACAGTGGTCTGAATTTCATGTGTTTCTAAAGAGCTTGATGCCATCAGGTAAGGGTACGATTTTAGCCATAAGGACATCACATTTTCATACAAGCTTCTAATGTGCAGGACCTAATTATCAAGTGTGTGGATCAGAGCCAAAATATTACTCCCAGAAACTCAAGTCCACTTTGGAAATAGGAAGAACCACACAGAAAGACTTGGTTTATTTCCAGGGGAGAAATAAAAGATTTGTTCTCATAAAATATTCTCGGTACTTGACAGATGAAGAAGACAGGACCCTCCTGCAATAAGGTAAATACCTATGAAACACAACAAGCAGAGTTGGATGCAGTCACATATGTGAACAAAATTCATGCATTCACAGGATTCTGAATCCTAATACTCCTACTGGCCCTAACTCTGTGACCTCCCACCACCCCCACCAGCACTACCATAGAATCTGGTCTCTTCTCAATAGTTATGGAATACTCAAAGCCTGATTTGTGATCAGAATTTTAAGATAAAAGTACATATAATACTCCTTTCCTGGGAGACTTTCACACTGATTGACCATCAGACAACTCTCATGACTACAAACCTCTTTTCACAGCACAAAAGGACCATCCCTGGATTCTTGCACATACCGTTTAATGACGTCATTCACATCCTAGTGAGAAGGGAGAAAACATGAATCAAAGAGTGATAGGTCCTTCCCACTTCCAAAGCTCATCACATCCCTACCACCACTAGATGTGGTAGGAATAAATACTCCCAAAGTGAGGCACAAAAGCAAATACAAGATCCAGGCTGACCATCCCTGAGGTTTCATGTGATGTTGTCAAGTTCACTAAAAGGTTGAAACAGCTTTGACACTTGTGGAAGTATAGCAAGAGACTTCCAGTAACTGGAAAAGGGATTTATTTATGAGGAAAAGAAGAGGCCCATGATATTTTTCCCAAATGCATTTGGTTCTCCATGAAATGATCTGAATTATTCATGGATCTTTAATTTATTCAAAGGATATGTAAAGTGATATACTATTATTATGCCAGGCTTTGCATAATAAATGGTGAATACTTAGTAATAACAGTCCTCAAGAAGTTTACATGTTTTTGCTGAGGATACAAGAAAGAAGTATATTAATGTAGGTGTTTCTCAAACTGATTTCTTCTTATTATATACACTAACTATAATTCAACACACGTGCATGTACTGTTGACTTCCGATTCTATTTTTCCCAGATTGTGTCTAAAATGAAGACTAAAATGTATTCAGCAGTGAAGAAACCACAGGGATCAGCAACTCAAGATTTCTAATAGTTAAATTACTATTCACCAGACCTACAATGTCTCCCTCTTTTACCCCATTGTCCATAATTTTACCAATATCCACTCAGTCAGTGTCCTAAAAAACTACAATATTTTGCCCTAAACTCCAGACTCTACCAAGCCAGGTTAATTCATGTTCCTCATTTCTTTTATCCGTATTCTCTTCTTTATTGTCACAGGTACTGTTTCGTTTGAACAGATATTTACAAAAATATTTGGTCTCCTTTACTCCAGCTTACCATTCCATGTCACCAAGACTAGGCCAATGGCTGGATCTAGACATACACATACAAACAAAATAGTTTTTCTTTCTGTATTAGGGTTTTTTATTGTATATGACATGAATTCAGTAAAAACTGCTTCAACGGGCAAAAAGGATTTGCGGACACCTGTAACTTTAATCAGAGCTGAATTCTGAAGTTCAAACTTCGTCATAAGGGTCTGGTCTATGTCCTTCTCCAAATTTCATTTATTCCTCTATGTTGACTTTATTCTCAGACAGTACATGAAGGAAGCATGAATCTCCCAATATAAATCCCAGCAGAAAAGAGTACTTCTTTTCCAACTTCCAATAAAATTCTGATGTTATATTTGTAATAAAATGCAACATCAAACTGAATTGGATCAGGTACTTAAAACAGTCACAGCGTTGCTGATGAGAACACCTGATGAGCATAGACTAATTTAACCAGAACTGAGTGACACACCTATCCTTGATGCTACTGATTTTCTTAGCCCAAAATCAACCAAATGGACTGAGGTGAGATGTGCGTGGTTCTTCAAAAGGTATTCCAGGGGTAGAGATATCAGCTAGCTGGTGGTATAAGCAGCTCAATGCTACTGTTCCCCCTACAGAAACACCAAAAACAAGCAAAAAGCTGGACACGATGTACCTCAATAGGAATTGAGGCAAATATGCCTTCAGTGTGAAGTTTTTTGTTTATCCGCCTAGCAGCTAGGCTGTGTTTAATGTTTACAATAACTACAAGTTAGAGGCTTAAATTTCCTCTAGTGTTCTTGTTTTTGTCTCTCCGTTTTTTTTTTTTTTTCTCCCTAGAAATTCTTTCTTAAATAGTCTGTTTCTTGCAGCTGTCTCAGTTGTAATTCATTGTTATTATACTAGAGCCCTGTTGACACAGTGGTTAGGTATTGGGGAGAACTGTTCCATATTCTTATACTTAAATCTCAGCTTTGTTTTCTTTTCAGTGAGCCTGAGTGCCTGTGCTATAACATTCAGAATAGTTTCTTAGTCTTTTTTTTTTTCCCCTCCCCTTATATGAGACAGAAAGGCTAAAAAGGTGGCTAGAGTTATACAATTACCTTCCCCCTATATCAGATAAAGCTCTGGAAAAGTAGTTTTCCTTGAAGGCAGTCCCAAGAATGAAATGCTCTGGGTACATTTCAAAGTGGTTATTCCCCCACCCTGGCATATTCCAGCTTTCAGCAACAACAACAAAATGACAAGGCATGCTAAAAGGTAAAGAATAGCATACATACATAGCCTGAAGAAACAAAGCAAACATCATAACCAGAATTAGTTATGAAAGAAATTTTAGAATTATCAGACCCCTAATTTAAAATATAGGAGCCCTGGTGGTGCAGTGGTTAAAGCACTCGACTGCCAACTGAAAGGTCAGTGGTTCAAACTCACCAGCTGCTTCACGGGAGAAAGATGTGGCAGTTAGCTTCCATAAAGATTACAGCCTTGGAAACCCTAGGGGGCAGTTCTACTCGGTCCCATGAGTTGAAATTGACTTGATGGCAACTAGTTTGGTTTTGGTTTATGCTTAATATTGTTATACACAGAGTCACTATAAATAGGAGCCAATTTGACAGCACCAGATGACAGAATGCTTAATATACTAAGCCTTCTAATGGAAAAAATAGAAAACATAGAAGGGAAAGAGGTACTGTAAGCAGAGAGAAGAAAACTCTAATTAGAATCAAAAAGAAATACTAGAAATAAAAAACACTATAACAGAAATAAATGAAGAAAGCCTTTAATAGGCTCAATCGTAGACTGGACAGGGCTGAGGAAATAATCATTAAGTCTGATGATACGTTACTAGAAACTTCCAACATTTCTAAAACTGAAATGCGAAGAGAAAACAAAACAAAAATGGAACACAATGTCTAAGAACTGTGAGGCAAAAACAAAAGGTATAACACACGTATAATGGCTATACAAAAGAAAGTAGAAAAGGAGCAAAAGAAATATTTGAAGTAATAATGGCTGAGAATTTTCCAGAATTAAAGACAGACACCAAACCACAGATTCTGGAAGCTCAGTGAACACCAAGCAAAACAAACCTACACCCAGGCATACCATATTCAAACTACAGAAGAAAACCAAAGACAAAGAGAAAATCTTGAAAGAAGCCAAGGGGAAATGGGAAACACCTTACTTATAGAAGAACAGGGACATAAACTACGTTGGACTTTTATTCAGAAACTATTCAAGCAAGAAGACAGTGGAGTGAAATATTTAAAGTGTTGAAAGAAAAAAAAAATCACCAACCTTAAATTCTGTACCCAGTAAAACTGTCTTTCAAAAATCAAGGAGAAGTAAAGATTTTTTTAGACAAACAAAAGCTGAGAGGATTTGTTACCAACAGACCTGCATTGCTAGAGATGTTAAAATAAGTTTTTCAGATAGAAGGAAATGATATATGTCAGCAACTCAGTATCTACATAAAGATAGGAAGAGAGTCAGAGAAGGAGTAAAGGAATGTAAAACAAAATCTTTCGTTAGCTAAGAACAGTGGGCGTATCTGGTGTTTTGGCTTGAGGCTGCTCCCATCACCACTTTGGCAACTGAGATGATACATAGATTCTCTCAGAATGGGGCAGGCAATGAGTTTGGACCACTTCTCTGTCACAGTTCAAGGGGGCTCACTTGATTTGGAGCACCGGGCAATACTCACACAGTGGCATTGCTAGTAGAGGTGGCATTCTCAGAGGCAGGTGATTGGGATAGGCCAGTAACTCTAGTCGCCTAAGGTTACAGTCATGATTGGGAAAACTACATTCTTGTCTCAAGTTGCATGTATCCACAGCGGAGAATAGAGAAGGGT